GTTGGCCAGTCAACTGCATGAAGAGGACAACTGAACTCATAGGAGTTGATAAGATAACCAAGAGAGTGTAAAAAGAGAGGACCTAGGGGACTGAAGCATATCCACAAATATACGGGGCATAACACTGTTGCTGATTCAGAAAAGGAGAAAGAGAATGAGAAACAGCACTTACACAAAATATAGAAACAGGAGACAATAGTGTCAAAAAATTCAGAGAATAAAGAGTGTCTGAGAAGGGAAAGTGTTCAAAGGGTCAAGTGCTACAGAGAGGTCAAAAAGGATGAAGACTGAGAAGAGTAGATTCACTGAATTAAGCAACTATTATTGGTGATCTTGGTGAGGACTTCAGTCAAGTACTGGGACTAAAAGGTTGTTAAGAAGCTGTGAAATAAATAAGAGTTAAAGAAGTAAAAGCAACAAGTACAGATTTTTTTTTCTTAAGAGTTTGGCTGTGAAAGGGAGCAGGGATAAAGCATATTAGTGAGGTTAAGGTAATGGCAGGGTCAAGTGAAGACCAACGACAGAGGAGAGCTCATCACATTTGCAGGTAGGCAGAAAAAGTCAGTGGATAAGGAAAGACTGACAAGTGGAGGGGGAGTGAAAAATGTCTGAAAGGACAAGCTCCCAGAGCACAGGGGAGAGAAGGCAAAATTACAGAAGCAATATGTAGGGGGCTACATCTTCATCAGAAACTGAAGCAAAATCAAAGGAAATGAGGAATCATGTTGAAGGGATCTGAAGTGAAGAACTGAGAAGAGGGGGATTCTTTCAGACAGATGACTTCAATTTTCTCAGTAAAACAATGAGTTCCTCTCCTGAGAAAGGAGAGGATGGGCTAGGTAAATGAGGGAAGATTTAGGAAAAACTGTTGGAGGATGTACCATAGTCAATCTTAGAGAAGTAAAAGCAATGCCACGCTTGATTAAGGGCCCAATTGAGATTAGATAAAGTTATAGTGGACCCATCAGCATGTTTATACAAACAAGCTGGAGGCAGCTAGATAGTACAATAGATAAAGCACTGGGCCTGGAATTAGGAAGACCTGGTCCAGATCTGGCCTCAGACTTAATAGTTATGTGACACTGGGCAAGTCACTTAATCTCTTATTGCCTCAGTTTCCCCATCTGTAAAATGGGGATAACAATAGCACCTACCTTGAAGGGTTGCTGAGAAGATCAAATAAGATAATATTTGTAAAGTGCTTAGCACACTGCCCAGAAGATAATAAATGCTATATAAATACTTATTCCTTTCCCTTACCCTTACAACTTCAACTTTCTCCAGCTGCATAGGAGCAGAAAGGTTAGACGAAAGTGGTAATGTAGGGATTAGATTCAGAAAGGGACAAATAGTAGTAGGACAAAGGGATAAAGTACTCTAAGGTAAGGAGTAGTGTGGACTACTAAAGTCAAACTACTTTAACTATTGTATAAAAACAACAAGGAGGAAAGTGAGGCCAGATTAAGCAATGAACTTGAAAAGCAGGGAGGCCTAAACAAGTTTAACACTTTGCATTTCTCCCTATTAAATGTTATCTTACTAGATTCTAGCCTGTAAAAGATCTTTCTGTATTCTGACTTTATCATTCAATCTTAGCTATTCATCCTAGCTTTCTTTCACCCACAAATTTGATATGTAAGCAATCTATGCTCTCTCTCCTCATTTCCCCTTCCTGGCTCCCTTCTTTCCAAAGGAGATCTTTAAAGATTCCCTAAGTTGCTAAGTGCTTTCCCTCTGAGATCATCTCCAATTTGCACTAGACATTGTGTGTGTATGTGTGTGTACGTGCGTAGCTATTTGCATGTTGTCTTCTCCTTGGATGAACTGATGCAGAATAAGGTGAGCAAAACCAGGAGAACAATTTAATACGATAACAACACTGTAAACACAATTTTGATAAACTTTAACCACTCTGACAATGTAATAACCAACCATAATTCCAAAGGCCTGAAGCTGAACTATGCTACCCATCTCCTGACAGAGAAGAGAAAGATTCACGATGGAGACTGAAACATCAATTTCTAAATACGGAAAATAAGGGAATATATTTTACCTGACTATGCATATTTGTTACAAGGGTTTTGTTTTTCTTTTAAGTGGAAAAGGGAAGAGAAAACGTTTGTTAAATGAAAAATAAAATGAAAAATTGAAAAAAATACATATTGTCTTTCCCATTAGAATGATGAAACCCCTTAGCACAGGGAACAGAGCTTAACAAAAAGCCTAGTGCTTACATAATAAGCACCTAATAAATGCTTGATGACTGAAAGACTAATAAAAATGTTAAACAACACAGGGTAAAGCCAAATTCCCAAGGTACTCCACTAGAGACCTCCTTCCAAATTGACTTGAAACATTAAGGACTACTCATTAAACCAGTTCTGAATCCACCTAGCTCTACTCGAATTTCCCAACTTTATCCATAAGAATAGCATGAAACTGTCAAATACTTTGCTAAAATCTAATCATTTCCCAATCTAAGAGCCTGATAACCCTGTGGGGGGAAAAAAAGGAAATGAGAGTAATTTGGCATAATCTGTTTTATTTTTCGTTTCTTACCTTTTATTTTAAATGTTTTATTGATATCTTTTATCTGAACATTACACTAATTTACCATTCCTTCTTCCAAACACACTGAACCCCCACTTGAGAAAAGACAAAAAATTAAGCAAAAACATCATATACAGAGGTCACGTCCTACCCAATTTGTTCTTGAAGCCATGTTCACTCTTGGTGAATACTGTTTCCTTTTCCATATATTCACTAACCATCACCTGAATAACTCATTTCAAAGTTCAGTCAGAAATTAAGAGTCTGGCTCAATGACAACTATTCTGTAGACTTTATTCTCATCTTTCTTGAAAATTGGGACGCTTTCCCCTGAGTCTTGCAGTTCTTGCTCTCCATATCTCAAAATTCACTGACACCAGCTCAATAATTATATCTGCCAATTTTTTTTTCCAGTACATAAGCATGCAATTCATCTGGGTCTGGTACTCTTACCATCTCCTTAATTATCTTTCCCTGCCTGTTAGTCATTTTTGTCTTTTTCAGTCAAAGAATCTTAGTCTTTGTAGAGAAAAGAGAAGCAAAATCAGAAATAAGTAGTGCTGCCCTATCTATCTTTTCATCATAGTTCCAAAATTCTTAGGCAATCTTATACATTCTTAGATTTCCTTTTCAGCATCAGGTCATTCTAGGCCTTAGTATTCTTGACGTTATTTTTTACAGACTTAGACAACCCAGGTCTTCTGATTCAGATAGTATTGGAGCTACCAGGTAATACTAAGTAATATCAGAAGTATCAGGTGATACTTGGTAATATCAGGTTGTACAGGTAATAGCAGAAGCAGGATTTGAACATTTTTCTGTATTCAGAGTCAAGGCTATTTCCACTGTACCATGCCTCCCTGATATTCTGGAACATCAGATTTAAAAACAGCTGTTTAAAAGAATCTTTTTTTTTCCTTTTGTGACTTTGGACAAAGTAATTTAATTTCTCTGACAATCATTTACTCATCTGTAAAATGAAGATAACAACAACTCACAGAGGGCTATTACAGTGTAGTGGACAGAGAGCAGACTCAAAATCAGTAAGATCTGGATTCACAACCCACCTCTGACACATATTGACTGTGAACATGGGAAAGTCTTATTACTTTGCAGTGCACTGGTAGAGGGAGTTTTCTCATCCAGGAACCTCTACATCAATAAAACAGATCACAGATTTATCAAATCACAAGGCCTCATTTTCCAGATAAGGAATCTAAAGCCTACTGAGGTTAAGGGACTTGCCCAACGTCACACAACTACTAAGTGTCTGAGATAAGATTTGAACCAGGTCTTCAAGACTTCAAGTCCCTACTACATCCAATCCACCAAGCTGCCCTAACCCGCCCCCAAAAAAATACACTACCACTCCATAATGATAGTTAGTAAACTTAAATGTGAACTATCACTATTACTGAACATTTTAAAACTACTGTTACACGATTTACAAGCTACATACTTGAAATTAAGATAAGGAGTCAGAAATGTCAGAGCTCTGCTTCCTTCTGCATCCTTCTAAGGAAGAAAGTTCAAGAAGGAGAGAAGCTCTGTCAACAAAAGAATGACTTTCTGAACCAACGTCAGATAAGGAAACGTCACATAATAGCTCACATTTGTGGATACAGCGTTTTGCTCTCCCCACAACCACCCTGGGAGGTGGGGGGGTCACGCAATCAAACACTTCTTCCTGGGCAGGAGGAGGAGGCGTTTTCTCACTCCCCGTATTCTTACACCTGGAAAGATGAGGCTGTGCCCTGAGGCCCACCATGACCCCCTCCGGGAGGTCGCGGACCCGGGGCGGGAGGGGAAGCCCAGAAGTGGGAGGCCGCCCGCAGCGTCTGAGGCCCGGGGTTGGGGGAGCCCCAGAAGGAGGCCCCTCCAGCCCCTGCCCCATTCAACGCCGCTGGCAGGCAGCCCGCCGCCACCTCAGCGAATCCTGCCCGCAGCCAGCTCACGCTTCTCCTAGGGTCACAAGAGGGGCGACCCCGGGCCCTCTCTTTAGTCCCCTCCTACTGCACACGGGCTGCCCCCCTAAAAGTCCCTACGCCACCCCCTCCAAGAAGACCCCGATTCATTTTTTTCTACATCTACCTTACTCCAGCCGCCTTCTGCCCAAGGGTCAGGGCGCATGCGTATTTCCGCAAGACAGGACCACGTGACCCAACCCAGCCAAAAGAACAACTACGAACAGTGGGATTAGGGGTTGGGGAGAGGGAGTGAACAAGCTCCGGGCCAAGTTACGTTAGGCGCCTGTACGTCCCTACGGCCTGCTGGGAGTTGTAGTTCTGCCGCACCTCCTCTGGGCATCGTGGAGTTGTCCAGGGGAAAGAGGGCTTGAAGTAGCGGTCCTGTTCCTAGGAAACAAGTCGAAGCAGTGCGCAGGGGCAGTCAGAACCTGCTCCGTCAGGGGGTGCACTTCCGGCTGTGTCCTAGGACTGTGAAGGGAGTGTGAGACCTACGGCCCGGTGGGGCGATGCAGTGGTGGTCAGTAGGTGTGGTCCTGATGGTGGCCACTTGTGCGGGTCCGGCTCTGGCCGCCCCGGCCCCATGGGGAGGTAGACTGGAGGAAGGAGCGGGCCCAGAGTGGCCTCCTCCCCAGAGGGTAACAGCCCGGGTTCCCTCGGTACCGAATGTGGTGCTGGTGGTGAGCGATTCTTTCGTAAGTACCAGGACGGGGAGAGAGGGCGCCCCTCCTCCCTCCCCTGCATAGCTAGGCGGAAGGGCGCCCCCTGCGAGCGGGCGGGCGAGGGAGGCACTTGGTGCGCCAGGGACGCCGAGAGTCTCGCTTAACCCCCACCCCCACTCGTGATCGCACTCTGCTGCAAATTAGGAAGTGTGCACGCCTTGGAAGGGAGCTGTCGGACCGCTTTAAACTGCATCTGCTCTTTGGGGGATGCTGTCAGGGTCTTTAGGGACATTTTGCTCCCTCACCCATTCAGGGGTATTAACTTTGCAAACAAATGGAATTGAAAAGTGAATTTCCCATTTACTTTAACCCCTAATGCTGGTGGTCTATTTGAAAAATGATGACCAGGAAAATTATAAATGATAGCCTCTTATTTCTCCCCCACTCCCTCACGCTCTTGTCCTCTGCTTAGGTAGCTCTTGGCCCATTTTTAATTGGAAGGGCTTATGTGAGAGTAAATCGACCTGAGTTTGACTCCTGAGTCTGCCCTTTACTTTCGATATGACCTTGTTTGGACGAGTGTCTTTGTCTCTCTAGTCCTCATCCGTAAAATGGGGGCTGATGGGTATTCCAATTCTAATCTTTGATCCCATAATGCAAATCAAATCAACAAGCATTTATTAAGCATATATTATTTGCCAGGCACTGGGCTGAGTCTGGGGATACAAAGAAGGCAAAAACTAGGCCCGAGGGAGACATGTGAACAGCTAAGTACAAATAATATATACAAGATAAATTGGAGATAACTACAGGGAATACCCTAGGATTAAGGAAGATCCAGAAAAGTTTCTTGCAGAAGATGAGATTTTAGCTGGGACATGAAAGAACCCAGGGAGGGCAGGAGTTATAGAGTGAGGACTGAGAGAATTCCAGACAGGTGGACAAGCCAATGAAAATACCCAGTGTTAAGAAACTGAGTGTCTTGTTCAAGAAAGATCAAAGAAGGGAGTATCACTAGATCTTGAGAGTATATGGAAGAAAGAAAAGTATAAAAATACTGGAAAGGTAGGAGGGGCCAGATTATGAAAGACTTTAAAAACCTAACCAATAATTTTATTTTTGATTCTAGAGGTAATAGGGAACCATTGGAGTTTATTGAGGAGAAGAGTGAACAGGTCAGACCTGTTCTTTAGGAAGACTACTTTGATAATTGAGTGGAAGATGGAATGGGATGGGGACCTGTGAGGGAAGGAGGACAACCACAAGGCTATTGCAGTAGTCAAGGCATGAGGTGATGAGGGCTTGCACCAGGATAGTGATATTGTCAAAAGACAGGTGAAATAAATGAGTAGTAAAGAATGCTAATTCCATGTATTTTTTAGATTGATGGATTGTATCTGATTAAATACTTAATCATTACTCCAAAGATCTTTTTTAAGTAACTGCAAGATTTAAAACAAATGTTAGCTATAAAAAGGTACTACATAAAACTCTTTTAAAAGCCTTTCCCAATCTCTCAGACAAAAAAAATTCTGCCGTGAAATCATCTTTATCTTTCCCCTAAACCTATACCTCTTTTTATGTCAAAGGCACCATCATTCTTCTAGTCACCTGTGTTCAAAACTGATGGATCATTTTCAGCTCTTCATTCTCTCTCCATCACACTGTATATAATTAGTCACTCACAATAGCCATTGCTTCTGTTGTCTTCTCTCTACTTGTACTACAGCCATCTTAGTTCAGGCCTTCATCATGCAGTAACCCAATTTATAACCCTGCCTCCTTCAATTATGTCTCCTCTCCAACCTATCTTTCACACAACTGCCGACTCAAAATTCATTTTTTATGCAATTTTATGTTATTTTCAGTACAGAATTCTCTCCCTTCGTGTTCCTTTTCGTTCACCAATTGAAAAGTCAAGAAAAACAAATCTATTATAAATATGTATACTCATGCAAAAAAATTCCCACATCAGCCATGTTCAAAAAAAGAAAGAGAAGAAACTATGCTTCAACCTTCACGCTAAAAATATGCTTCACTCTACACTGTAACTCCACCAGCTTTCTATCTGGAATGGCTGGCATGCTTCATCATAAGTCCTTAGGGGCTATGGTTGGTCATTGTGCTGAATTGGGCATGTAACTTAAAAAAGCTAGAAAACCACAAGTTAAAAAATTCCAGTTAAACACCAAAATAGGAGTCCTGAAAATCGAAGGAGAAATGAACAAAATTAAAAGTAAAAATACCACTAAACTAATAAATAAAACTAGGAGCTCTTTTTTTCTAAAAACAAATAGTAAAATAAACCACAAAGTAATTTGATTTTCTTAAAAAAAAGAATAAAATAAAATTACCATATCAAAAATGAAAAAGATGAATTCACAGCAAAGGAAGAAGCAAACGAAAAAAATCTCATGATAAAGAGCTACTATAGTGACAGGCAAGCTCAAGACACAAGCACAGAAGAGAACAACTCCCAAAAATATATAAGCAAAGCCTTAAAGAAAATGCAGCTTGTACACAAGTTCAACAAGGATTCCTAAAAGAAGTAGCAAAAAAATTATTTTAAAAACTAAATGAGAATAGAGGGGAAATAATGGGAAAAGAGATAAGAGCTAGGGAAGAAAGATATGAAAAAGAGAATTATATGTATTATAAATGTATGAAAAATAATTGGGGGAAAAAAGGTACAGAACTTTACTGAAGAAGGTAACTACTTGAAAATTAGAAAATGGCCAAGTGGAATTTAATGACTCCATGAGACATCAAGAAATATAAAGTCAAAATTCTGGGAAAAATAGAAGAAAATAAAGAAGCTTAGGGACAGAAAGAGATCCCAGGAAATTTCCTGTCCTGGTGCCCAGAATCAGTCTTCTCTCCTTCCCTGGGTTCTAGAATGCTCCAGCTGTGTATGCTCCTAGTGGGACCCCCTCCCCAGATCTATAGCCCTCTCTGTCCATCTCCCTAAGCCCCCTAGGACTAGAAAAATGACTTCCAGGACTTCTTGGCTTTTTCGATCAGAATTCAGTCTGGTATATTCTCTTATCCTTGTTGAGGAATGAGCTAGACTTTAATGCTTCCTATCGCTCTGCCATCTTGACTTTTCCTCCCAATAACATTCCTAAAGCAAAGGTCTAAGTATGGCAGTTGGCTGCTCCGAATGCTTCAGTGCCTCCCCATCTTCAAGATAAAATACAAATTCTTTTTTTTTTCACCTTTGAAACTCTTCACAGTATAGCTGCATTCTACCCCTCCAGATTCATTATTCCCATTCACACAGCACACTGTAGCCAAACTGGTCACCCACTTACTGTTTCCCATACATTACATCCCATTGTGGCTTTGCATAGGCTCCCTGCCCTCATTCCCTCCTCACTTCTGCTTCTAGTAACTCAAGTGCTACTGTCTTCAAGGACCTTCCCCCCCCCATGCCCCATTGTTCATCTCTCCCTTTTCCTTGCATGTATCCTTTACTTATTTATCAGTAAACATGTATTCCCTCACATACACACCAGAGAGAAGTGTAAGCTTATTGATGTCAAGGACTGTCTGACTTGTTAAAGTATAATCACCAGTGCCTAGCTTGGTGCAGGGCACAAAGTGCTTACTAAATGTATGTTGATTGAACCTTGATAGGTACTACCCACTTTTCAAAAAGCTACCTTTTAGACAGATTTTTAGTTATAAATTATAAAATTAGGAACCAAATGGACATGTGCATAAGCTTTACAATGAATACATATGCTTTAGAATTAACTGTGTGGTAATTCTTCTCTGAGTTATCTCTTCTCTCCACTGAACATCCCATCTGGCAGCCGTCTTAAATTTAGCCTATAGCTTCCAATACCATGCCAATTTGCTATACTATTGAAAATTCTTTTTCTTTCCATGCCAATTCTGTAATGGCCTTTTTCCCTGGCCCAGACACATTCCATTTTCTATTTCTATTTGGAATTGGTAAAAATTAACCTGATACCAAGATTTCCAAAGGTGGAAGTTCAGCCACTGTAGCTATCATTTCCTCAGTCTTAATTCTTTGGCACTCAAACTCAAATGTAATAAAACACTTTTTTGCCTTGGTTTTAAATACAAGAGAGGAAGCATCTGATTTTTCTCTTGTTATAATTAAAGTGCAAACCATCTACCCCAGTGTTAAGAGAGCTGGCGGTTATTTGTCTAACTTTGCCAGCATAGCTTGAAGGGATGTGCCTTCCTCTAAACTCCTTGCCACTGAACCCAGATGGCTCCGGTTGCTGGTGACTTTGCATTGCCCTCCCTCACTTAAATCCAGTTCACTTGCATGTCATAGCATCACTTCCCTGATGTCATGGTCCTCTTAGAGAATAAAGGATAAACAACACATACCTAGTGTTTGTCTAATACATTTGGCATTTATCAGTGTGATTGTGAAGTAATGAGAAAGAATTCTATGAGTCAGGTGGAAAACTGATTCGTAGTTGCCTCTCATATTTACTGATTGGAATTTATTTTTTGGTCTGGATCTGTGATTTCATGTGTATCAGTAGTGCTAGTCAGCAACTAATCTGCAATATTTTTTTTCTTAGAAAGTTGCCTGGGACACTTAGAGGTTAAGTAATTTACGCAGGGATTAAGTAATTTACAATTTGAACCCTGATCTTCCTAGCTCAGGCAGTGTCTGCCTCCTCAGGTTGCCTCTCATCTCACTTCACAGGTCATGGGAGTTGTGCTAGAATGGACCTTAGAAAGTATAATCATTAAGCTAGAGCTGGAAAGAATCGAAGAGGCCACCTAGTTAGAATAACCCAACCTTATTTTGCAGATGAGGGACCTTAGGCCCAGAGAGGTCAATTAAGTTGCCCAGGTTCACATAGATATAGTAAGTAGCACAGCCAAGAGTCTCACCCAATTCCAAATCCAGTGCTCTTGCCACCATGTCCTGGCTGCTGTATTGTAATGTTATCTGTCTGTCTCTGATAGTTGCCCAACTAGATTGTAAGTTTCTTAAGAGTAGAAACCATGTTTCATATTTTATCATATCTTCCACAGCACTTAGGACCATACCTTATGTGGTATGTAAGTTTCTTAAGAGTAGAAACCATGTTTCATATTTTATTATATCTTCCACAGCATTTATGACCATACCTTATGTGGTATGTAAGTTCCTTAAGAGTAGAAACCATGTTTCATATTTTAGTATATCTTCCACATCACGTAGGACCACACCTTATTCATTGGTTGTTCAGAGGATCTTTTTGTTAGAGGCACATAGGTGATACAGTGGATAGGGTACTGAACATGGATATAGGAGGGCCTAAGTTCAAATTCTGCCTCACATTTTTAGCTATGAGATCCTGGACCAGTTACTTAACCTCTTTCAGTCTCAGTTCCTCCATCTGTAAAATGGGGATAATAAAAACTCTTACAAGGTTGTTATGAGGATCAGATGAAGCAACTTACAAACCTTAAAAGCATTATGTAAATGCTAGCTGTTATTATTTTTGTTATCCTTATTTTAGAACTTAATTTTGGAGAGTAAAATATTTTGCAGAATTTACTTTTCCAATTAACTGAAGCTTCCTCTTTCCTTATCTATATTTCATTTTAAACCAATTTTTATGGATAAGAAATATTGCACACTTTACTGCTACTGATCAATACAGGATGTTCTAAACATAATTTAAGGCAAAAAGAGGATTTATGTTTGATCCTGGAGGTAATAGGGAGCCACAAGATTGGGGGGGTTAGATAGATCAAATATAAATCTTCTTTTTGATATTCAAAGCTCTTTATAACCATTCTCTCCCCTCCAATCTTTCCAGTATACCTTATACCCCTCCACGTACTCTTTGAGCTAGTGACACTGGTTTCCTTTTATTTCTCACAAAAGACATTTCATCTCCTGACTCCTGGCATTTTCTATATATAGCTGCCCTCATGCTCTGAATACTCTCCCTCCTCATCTCCACTTCCTGTCTTCGCAGAGTTCCTTCATGTCCCAGCTAAAATCTATCAGAAGCTTTTCCTAATCCTTCTTAATTCTGGTGTCTTCCTTCTATTGATTATTTCCCATTTATCCTGCATATAGCCTTATATAACTTGATTGTACGTAGTTGTCTGCATTTTCATCATATACACTCTCTCCAAAACAAAAAAAAAAACTTTCAGTACGTATTTACATAGTCCAGCAAAACAAATGTCCACATTAGTCATATCCAAAAAAAGTGTGTCTCTTTCTGAAGTTCATCACCTGACTGTCGGGAGATGAGTGGCATATTTCATTTTTGTTCTTTCAGACTCATGGTTTATCATTGTGTTGATCACAGTTCTAAAGTCTTTCAAAGTTGTTTTACTCTATAATGTTATCTTTGGATAAATTGTTCTCCTAGTTCTGCTTACTTCTCTCTGCATCAATTCATGAAGGCCTTCCTCTGAAATTGTCTATTTCATCATTTTTTTTCACAGTAGTATTCCTTACATTCATATACCACAAATTGTTTAGCCTTTCCCCAGTAAAAGGACACTCCCTTAGTTTTCAGCTTTTGACTACCACAGAAGAATTGCTATAAATATTTTTGTGCATATAAATCATTTTTCTGTAGCAGCTTGTTGATGCCTTAAATAGAGCCAGGGCCTGGAGTCAGGGAGACCTGAGTTCAAATTTGGCCTCAGATATGTAACCTCTAACTGCCTCAATTTCCTCCGTTGTGAAATGAAGATAATAAGAGCACCTACCTTGCCGGATTGTTGTGAGGATCAAATGAGATAATGTTTGTAAAGTGCTTAATACAATGCATAGCACGTAGTAGTATTATATAAATGTTTATCCCCTTTTCTTGGGGGTAGAGACCTAGTTTGATTTCTTTGGTGTAGAGACCTGGTAGTAGGTCAAAGAGTGTGCATAGTTTGATAACTTTCCTAGCATAGTTTCAAATTGCTTTCAAAAAATGGCTGGACCAACTCATAGTTCCACTAGAAATGCAATGCTGTAGCTGTTTTTCTCACAGTCTCTCCAGCATTTGTCATTTTCCTTTTTTGTCATCTTTGCCAGTCTTAGAAGTGTGGGGTAGAACCTTAAAGTTGCTTTAATTTGTGTTTGTCCAATTATTAGTGATTCAGAACATTTTTTTTCACATTGTCATTGAGAGCTTAGATTTGATCCTTTGAAAATTGTTTGTATCCTTTGATCATTGAGAGTAAGGGATTTGGCCACTATGTGGAAAATGAATTAGAGAGGGAGGAAGTCCTTGAGGCAGAGAGACCAATTAGGAGACCGTTAGAGTAATTTAGGCAAGAAGTAATGAGAGCCTGAACCAGGGTGATGACCACGTGAGCAGAAACAATGTGACAGATGAGAGAGATGTTATGGAGGTAGACTCTACAAGACTTAGCAACTGTTTAGATATAAGAAGTGAGTTGAGAGGGAAGAACCAAGGGAAATTCTGAGGATATAAACCTGAATGATTGGGGGGGGTGCCCCTTGACAGAAATAAGGAAATATGAAGATGGGAAGAAAGATAAGGAGTTCTCTTTTGGACAGATGAAGTTTAATAAGCCTAGGGATTATACAGTTGGAAGTGTCCAATTGACAATTATTGATGCAGGACTAAAGCTCAGGAGTTGAATATATAAATCTAGAAGTCATCTTCAGAGAGATGATCATTGAATCCTTGGAAGCTGATGAGATCACAGGGAAAAGAGAACCTAGTACAGAGCCTTGGGTGATGAGTATTTGGTATATTTTATTTCCATGAATGAATGAAGAGGCACTAAGTAAGCCTTTATTATGTGCCAGACATTGGGCTAAGAGCTGAAAATAAAAACGCAAAAGTGAAATAGTCCTTCTCCTCAAGTAGCTTACATTCTAATAAGTTTACATTCTAACATTCTATTCTAACAAGTATATGGTGGCCAAGAAGGGACTTGTCGTCTGGGGGGTCTCAGGGATGGTGAGTCAGTTGATGATGAGCTAGCAAAGGAGTTGAGCAGTGTCATGTAAACCCAGTGATGTCTATTGATAAACTTATTCCATTCATGTGAATTTAATTATAGTGCTATATATTTAATATCTGACATCTTAATATCTCTGTGTGAATTTCATTATCTGCAACATGAAATGCATTCTTCTGCTTTACAGGGTTGTTTTGAGTACTATAAAGATAATTTTAAAGCCCTTTGCAAATTGTAAATATTAACATTATTATTACTGGAAAATATACTTCATATATAATGTGATTAACTACTGTTCCTTTGATTACAGGATGGGAGGCTCACATTTCATCCAGGAAATCAGACAGTGGCACTTCCTTTTATAAATTTCATGAAGAAACATGGTACCCTTTTTCATAATGCATATACAAACTCTCCAATCTGTTGCCCATCACGTGCAGGTACAGATGTCCTTATATATATTAATTAAAATAAATAACACAATATGGAACTTAGTGTAAGTTGTCATTAGTGTTAGGCTTCAGAGAACACAGTATGATTAACCTTCTGAATATAGAGGGCTTTATCTGAATATCTGGTAATCTGCTAATCATGATAATAAATGTTTCCAGATTCAGACTTTACCAGTTGCCATGCAGTTTTCATTTCTTAGATTAGTGTGATCATCTCAGTAGTTTGGTTTAGCTTAGAGAAATAATTATACTGGCAAAATGTCATTGGCATTAAGCAATGTATAATTCAGGAATAGGATGTTAAAGCATGGATTGATAGAACTGAAAGTATAATCCTTTATCTTTTCTCCAAAAAAAGTTTTTCTTGGCTTCTCTGTAACTCCTTTGTGTTTTTAAGTTTGTATTGCACCTGGAGGTTTGGCTTGTATCTCTCTAAATTATTAAGATATTTAGTTATTCTTAGAATTCCCCAAGTTAAAGATACTCATTCGTTCATTTGAATGTTCTTTCAACAAAAGAGGAAACCTAAAATTTACATTATGGACACTGTGAGTTCAGAACTTGATTCAGTTTATTTTTTGATGCACACTTGTAATTTCACCATTATAGGGAGCTCCCAACAAGAAAATTCCCTGTGTTATTGCAGATTGACAGCTGCCCTGCAATTTATAGACTTAGAGTGTGGCTTTGGAAAGAGATCCATATTATGGCAGTATGTGTCAGACATGGGACTTGAGCCTAGGAATTTGCTACCTCAAGAAAGGCTTTCCATTGATTATTCTATGCTGTTTCTCATATGTTCTGTGCTTTTCCATTCTTCATTGAAGTAGGAAACAAGGATCTTTTGCTTTAGTATTTCAGTGGATTGGTGAACACATCAATATGAATTCTCCTTCCAAAAGTAAAGATTGCAATCCAGTCACACTTTATTGCCCTGTGCAACTCTTGTCCAAAGCCTCCCTCCATAAATCATTCCTAAAGGATCTTAGTATTACCTGGGTACCAGTGCAGCATCTTATTAACAGATTTTATAAAGATAAGGCAATATGCATAATAACGAATATTCTCTCATTCCTTTTTTGTTGTTGCTCTTCTAATAAGGTCCAATTTTTTTCTGCCTTTTGATATACTCTCTTCCAGATATTTTGAGAATCACCGCCTTAATCCTCAAGATTATGTTATCTATAGCACAGACCTCCTCTATATATACTTCTAGTCTTGACACTTTTCCCAGTTTTTTTCCTTTATAGTGTCTTTTGTACTTCCTCATGTATCACATTAGGGACTGTAAATGTTAGACAGTTTCTGACTTCTGAGTGCCCTCATCACTTATCACCCAGGATCTCCTAATTACCACATCTAATGCTTTTTTTTTTCCTGGTTTCTCCCTCCTTGACCCCTGTAACATTTGACATTTCCTGAATAATTTCTCCTCCATAGGTTTTTGTGACACTACTCCTTTAGGTTATAGAGCAGGGACTGTCTTTTCTTTGTTTCCCTAGAACACTGCCTGGCACATAGTTGGCACTTGGCAAATACTTGTTGACTGACTGCTCTCTCATTTCTCCAGCTACCTTTCTGGCTATTCTTCCCTTATTTTTGTTTTTCCTTGTTTATCGTTGCTGTCTATGTCACTAACTATGAGTATCCCTCAAAGTTCTGTTCTTGGCACTCTTTCCTTTCTGTGATCTCATCAACTACCATGGATTCAGTTGTCATTGAATTAAAAAAATGACATATCATATTCACTCATTTTTATTTTTCTAGTTTGATATTGATTTTTATCTTTGCCCTAATAAATCAGTGGTAGATAATTGGGATGATTGTGCACAGCCAACTGATTTGGAAATAACTCCTACATTAGTAACTCATTATCTGTTAAAATATAATCACATTTAATTTTTGTGGTACTATTTGGTACCTGCTTAGGTAATCTTCTTGTTGGAGAAAGTATTCATGATGGTAGACAAGGGGGTGTGAGCCTTTGATCTCTTTCTTTCTTGCTTCTCAATCATCTTTTCTAGCATCTTGTTTTACTATCCTTCCTATAACTCCCTTTGAGGTCACAGGGTTCAAAAGTGCATGTTAATTTAATTTGAAGAGATTTATCAAGTTTTTCATAGAATTTTTCTGCCCCATCCTCTACCATATATATTACATAGGCTACATTTATTTTTATGGAAATATCTTTGCAAATACTTAATCATGAGCAATGAGATGACTAAATGTCCTGTGAAATATTTCATTTTAGACTATTTATATTTATTTTGTTAAATATTTCCCGATGACATGTAAAAATGTTAACAATCATTTTTTTTAATTTCAAGTTCCAAGTTCCTTCTCCCCTTCCCATCTCTCTTCTTGAGAAGGCAAGCAATTTTACTTTGATTATACATATGAGGTCATGCAAAGCATAGTTCCGTATTAGCCATGTTGCAAAAGAAAACACAAACAAAATAAAACTATTTTTAAAAGTTTGGAAATATGTTTCATTTTGCATTCAGAGTTCATCAGTTTTCTCTCTCTAAAGGTCGATAGCATTTTTCATCACAGTTCCTTTGGAATTGCCTTGGATCATTGTTTTGCTCAAAGTAGCTAAGTCTTTCATAGTTGATCATCTTTACAATATTGCTGTTACTGTGTACAATGTTCTCCGTGTTCTTTTCACTTTATTTTATGTAAGTCCATACAAGTCTTTCCAGGTTTTTTCTGAAACCATCCTGCATGTCATTTCTCATAGAACAATAGTATTCCATCACAATCATATACCGCAACTTGTTCAACTGTTCCCCAATTGATGGGTCTCCCCTCAGTTTCCAGTTCTTTGCCACAACAAAAAGAGCTGCTATAAATATATTTGCACAAGTAAGTTCTTTTGCCTTTTATTTCCTCTCTTTGGGATACAGACCTAGTACTGGAATTGCTGGGTCAAGGGGTATACACAGTTTTATAGCCCTTTGGGACCCTTTTCCTTTGCTGTCGTGCTAACCAATTTGGTAGGTGTGAGATGATATCTCAGGGTTGTTTTAATTTGCATTTCTCTAATCTATGATGTTTAGAGCATTTTTTCATGTAACTATTCATAGCTTTCATTTCTTCTTCTGAAAACTGCCTGTTCATAGCGTTTGATTTATCAATTGGGGAATGACTTGTATTTTTATAAATTTGGCTCCATTCCCTAAATATTTGAGAAATGAGGCATATATCAGAGAAATTTGTTATAAAAACTTTTTCCCAGTTTCCTCTTTTCCTTCTAATTTTGGCTGCATTAGTATTTTTGTGTAAAATCTTTATAATTTCATGCAATCAAAATTGTCTATTTTACTTCCTGTAATCTCCTTTATCTCTTGTTTGGTCATAAACTCTTCCCTTTTCCATAGATCTAACAGGTACATTTTTCCATGCTCTCCTAATTTACTTATGATATCATCCTTTATGTCTAAGTCATTTATCCTTTTTTACATTATCTTGGTATATGGTATGAAGTGTTGGTCTGTACCTGTTTTCTGCTGAACTGCTTTCCAGTTTTCCCAGCATTTTTTGTCAAATGATGAATTACCCCCAAAACTTGGATCTTTGGGTTTATCAAACACTAGATTACTATGGTCATTTACTACTGTGTATTATGTACCTAATCTGTTCCACTAATCCACCACTCTATTTCTTAGCCAGTACCACACTGTTTTGATGATTACCACTTTATAATATAGTGTGAAATCTGGTACTGGTAAGCAGCCTTCCTTTACTTTTTTGCATGGATTTCTTTGATAGTCTTGACCTTTGGTTACTCCACATGAAATTTATTATTATTTTTTCTAGCTCTATAAAATGATTATTTGGTAGTTTGATTGGTTTGGCATGGAATAAGTAAATTAAATTAGGGATAATTATCATTTTTGTTTTGTTGGCTTGGCCTACCCATTAGCAATTAATATTTCTCCAGTTGTTTAGAACGGTCTTTATTTGAGTGAAAAGTGTTTGTGATTATGTTTATATAATCCCTGAGGGTGGGTAGCATCCTCCTTCATTGGTCCAAGTCTTTCCATGTTTTTCTAAAATCAACCAGTTCATTATTTCTTATAGCACAATAGTGTTTCATCACAGTGATGTAACACAGCTTGTTTAACCATTCCACAATTGAAGAGCATGTAATATTTTAACCAAGCTGATAGATGTAAGATGATATCTCAAAATTATATTAATTTATATTTCTCTCATCGAGAATTATTTAGAATATTTTTTTCATATGGCTATATGTAGTTTTGATTTCTTCATCCAAAAACTGCCTGTTCACATCCTTTGATCATTTGTCAGTTGGGGAATGACTCATATTCTTATAAATTTGACAACATTCCTTACGTAGTCTATGTTCTTCATGAAATCTTGCTGCAATCTTCTTACTACTATTTTATTTAAAATTGTTGCATTAATATTTCATTAAGGAAATTGGTTTTTTTCTTCCTGTTTTTGCTCTCTCTGGTTTAGTTTTCAAAACCATGATTGTGTCATAGAAGGAATTTGGTAGGAATCTTTATCTACTTTTTTGAATAGTTTTTATAGCATTGAGATTAATTATTCCATAAGTGTTTGGTAGAATTCATTTGTGAATCCATCTGACCCTGAGGATATTTTCCTTTGGCAGCTCATTGATGACTTGTTCAATATCTTCTTCTAAAATAGTGTTATTTAAGTATTCTAATCCATATTCTGTTAATCTGGGCAGTTTTTATTTTCATAAACATTCATTTCACTTAGATTGTCAGATTTATTGGCATATAATTGGGTTAAATAAGTCCTGATAATTGCTTTAATTTTATCCTAATTGGTAATGCATTTATCTTTTTCATTTTTGATACTAGTAATTTGGTTTTCTTTTTTAATAAAATTAACTAATTGTTTATTTTATTGATTTTTTAATAAAACCAGCTTCTAGTTTTTTCCTCTCAATTTTATCAGTCTCTTCTTTGATTTTCGGGGTAGCTGTTTCTGTGTTTAATTAAGGCTTTTTAATTTATTCTTTTTCTAATTTTTTTTTGGTTGCATGCCCAATTCATTGATCTACTCTTTCTTGCTTTTATTGATGTGTGTATTTAGAGATATACATTTTTTCCCTAAGTACCACCTTGGCTACTTCCCACAAATTTTGGTATGTTGTCTCATTATTGTCATTCTCTTTAATGAAATTATTTATTATTTCTATGACTTAATTCTTTGATCAATTTATTCTTATATTCTTTAGGACTAGATTGTTTAGTTTCCAATTAACTTTTTTTTTTTGTGAGGCAGTTGGGGTTAAGTGACTTGCTCAGAGTCACATAGCTAGTAAGTGTTATGTGTCTAAGGCCGAATTTGAACTCAGGTCCTCCTGACTCCAAAGCCAGTACTCTATCCGCTGCGCCACCTAGCTGCCTCTCCAATTAACTTTTAATCTATGCTTTCACAGCCTGTCATTAATTCTAATTTTATTGCATTGTGGTCTGAAAAGGGTACATTTAACATTTCTGCTTTTCTTTGTTTGGTTGTGAAGTTTTTATGTGCTAATACATGGTTGATTTTTGTGAAGGTGTCGTGTACAGCTGAGAAAAAGATATCCTCCTTTCTATTCCCATTCAGTGTTTTCTGGATATCTATCATATCTAACTTTTCTAAGACTGTATTCATCTCCCTGACATCTTTCTTGTTTATTTTATGGTTAGATTTATTTAGTTCAGAGAGGGGAAAGTTGAGGTCCCCCACTTGCATAGTCTTACTGTATATTTCCTCCTATAATTCATTGAACTTTTCCTTTAAGAATTTGGATGCTATGCTATTTGGTGCATATATGTTTAGTATTGATATTACTTTATTGTCTGTGATTCCTTTTAGCAAGATGTAGTTTACCTGCTTATCCCTTTTAATTAGATCTATTTTTACTTTAGCTTTGTCTGAGATTATGGTTGCTACCCCTGCCTTTTTTACATCAGCTGAAGTATAACAGATTCTGCATTAGCCCTTTATTTTAACTTTGTGTGTCTTTCTGTTTCAAGTGTGTTTCTTGTAAACAACGTATTGTTGGATTCTGGTTTCTAATCCACTCTGCTATCTGCTTCCATTCTGTGAGTGAGTTCGTCCCATTCATGTTCACAGTTATGATTACTAACTGTGCATTATGAAATATTTCTAGTTGTCCTTGAACATACAGTAAAACCCACTCTTTTACTTGCCTCTCTAAAGCATCGGTTCCTTCTGTAGCATGTCCATTCAGTAGTCACTGAACACAGATTTAAGTGACCACAACTAAACTCAGCTTCATCATCTGAAAACTTTGTGAATTTTAGCATCCTCTGTCCCCTTTTCTACCACTCCAAAATCATAAAGCTACATAATATTGAAGACCATATTTTCCTTTGGTTCACAAGTTCCCATGGCTAAAGAGGTCACCCTACTTGTAATCAGTCTCTTTATCCTGATCTGGGCTAATCCTTACAGAGAAGAGAATCTGTTGTGAAGACCATTTTGGGAAATTTTTCAGTGTGGCCACAATTTGTGCTCCACTGGTGTAGCCTTCCAGAACTCAGGACCACTCGGTGCTGAGGCATCAGAGTAGGAAACTGAAATATTTCCTGTTATTCAGTATAGAAGTATGTAGCATGTCCATTGATCAGTGTGATAGCAATATATTTTTAATCCCTAAAAAATATGTGATGTTGGGGTGATTGATTTACTCAACCCCACTCTACTTAAAGTAATAAGGTACCCAATGAATCAGTTCATTCATAGGCCTTAAATTAATTTCAAAAAGGCCTTTGAACTTCACACAAGACTTCTGTTTTGTTTTGTTTTTTGGATAGATTGAGGAAACTTGGTCACAACTCAGGGATCATCTATAAATTATTAAGGGGGCTCAGAAGGAAACTTAGAGCAAGCATGACATTCCAACACACCCCTGAGGAGCAAAGACAGTACTGAGCTGTGGTAGAGATAGGAGATTATCGGAAAGGGTCATTGGCTCTACAGGTATCTCAGAGCAAAAATCCAGGCTGAGAGAAGTCTCGAGAAAAGGTTGACTCTTTGAATCCTATTTTCCCTCCTGTTTCCCATCTAACCATCAACATTATTAGTATAATCTGTTATTTCATTACCCAAACATTTCCAATAAACTGAATTTTGCCTCAACCACAAAGAGGCCAGGGGTTAACTAGAAAGAGATAAAAATGTGAAGTTAGGCAGAGTCTAACCACTGTCTGAATGTTAATAAATATCTTAACTGGGAGTTAAGAGTATGAGTGAGCTTATAATTTTATGCCTAAAATAAATAAATATCCCATTACTCCTCTAGCCTTTAAATGAGCCAGAGTGTGTTTGTGTATGTATGTGTGTGTATATATGAATGTATACATATACTTGCATATATACATATATAATATATACACACTTGTGTATTATATTTATTTTAAATTCTTATTATAATCCCTATTTTATATGTTTTTCAGCAATGTGGAGTGGCCTCTTTACTCATTTAACTGAATCTTGGAATAATTTTAAGGGCCTGGATGAAAATTACACAACATGGATGGACCTCTTGCAAAAATCTGGCTACCGTACACAAAAGTTTGGAAAATTAGACTATACTTCAGGACATCACTCCATTAGGTAAACAATGAATCATATGCCTACTGATGTAGTATGTGTGAATGTGTGTGAATACATACGCTAATGTGACTACTGTTAATAGCCCAAAGGTAAAAATATTCTTAAATTTTTGTTTCTGTTAATATGACATAGATTCTAATGATATCCTCTCAAACTAATGTGATTAAGGTACTTATAATTTTGTTTTCCATAAACATTAAAAGAAACCCAAATGATTCTAAGCGTTGCTCCATCTGTTAGTTGTTTTTGGTATATACGTCTCAGCACAGTGTTTATTGTAGTACCTTCTTTTAGAAGTCAAAGTCTTTTTTTGGCTTCTCCCCTTGGGGTCCGACAGAACCAGTCTGATCCCCTGGTCTATATCACAGCCCTTCAAATTCTTGAAGATTTTTGTCATGTTCCCCCTGAGTCTTCTTTTCTCCAGATTAACATCCTCAGGTCCTTTAGTCTGAGTTCATAGAACATAAACTCAAAGCTCTTCATCCTCCTGTTTGCCCTCCTCTGGACACTCTACCTTGTAGCCAGGAAGACCTGAGTTCGAATTCAGCCTCAGCCATTTCCTAGCTGCATGACCACAGGCAAGTAGCTGAATCTCCTTCAGTTTCAGTTACCTTATCTGTAGAATGGGGGTGATAATAGCAGCTACCTCCCAGGGTTGTTGTGAGAATCAGATGAGAGATAGAGAAGGCACCTTGCAAACCTTATAGTACTATGTAAATGCTAGCTATTATTACTATTATTATGCTTCCCCTATCTTATACTTGGGAAGCTTTTTTTTCTTGTAATTTCATCAATGTGGATGTTCCCATCGATGCTACATATTATAAGCTCTGTATGTCTTCCTGTCCTCTCTTAAATTCACCGCAGGAAGCCCACCCCTTGTTCTAGGGAGTGTCCTCAAATTCTTCCAGCCTCGTCCTGTATGTGTGACTTGATTTTTCAGATGGAATGAGCCCTTCTCTTTTTCGTCACATACCTTACTGATGATATGTAATTCACTTTTGTTCCTCTTATTCTCTCTTTCTTATCTTTGATATCAATACCTTATTAGCCATTTTTATTCTTTCCTTTCTCATCCAAGGGTCATTCTCTTTGGTAGAGAAAATAAGAATTTGGTTTCTCTCCCTTCTCTCCATCATTTGTTATTATTGCCCTGATTTGCTGCCTTGTCCATTCACACATCCTTTCTTCCCCAGCATATCTTTTTTTTAATAACCTTTTTTTATTCTCCTTGGTTTTTCTCTGCAATCTCAGCTCATTCTAAGGTTTAACATTATGATTATAGGACAGTGACATGCTTTTATGTCCATCCTCTTATCACCTACCCTTTCTTCCATCGTCTGAATGCATCTTTAAAATCTAAGCACATTGGTAAGTTCCCAGCATATCTACACTGGTCTCTTCAAACAGCTCTTCTTTTCAGTACAGTTGTTTCTTTGCTTCAGAATTCCACTCAAGAGCTTCCCCACCCTTCTAGGCTGGCTTTGCTATGGAATTGTAGACTCTGGGATTGTAATTCACCTTCCTCTGAGCCCTCTGACATCTCCTATTCCAAAATGTAAGGTACACATCACATTATGCTCACCTTTCCTCCTCCTCTGTTACAAAGTCTAAGTTGGAACGTTAACTTTCCACCCAAGGATCCCATCATTTCCTTCCCCAAAAACTAATCCCTACATTTTGGTGTCAGCCAACTCCAGTTAATCAAGGAACATTTATAAGCGTCTACTATGGGTCAGGAATTGTGCCAGGTGCTGGGGATACAAATACAAAAATGAAACTATCCTTATTTATAAGGAGTTTACATGCTAATGAGGAAGATGACAAATACCTATATCAGTGGATAGTGTCTAATGCCCATAGTCATTGCGAGATTAGAATTAGATTTCTGTAAAGTGCTATGCAAACCTTGAAGTGCTATATAAATGCAGGATCACACAGCTAAGTGCTGTGTTCTTGTTAAGTATCCTTTCTATGCTATGAGTAAACTTCCTTTTTGATAACTATTGAATGATCGACAAGTGTTTCATTTCTTTCAAGTAGTAGATGTAAATATTTAGTAATAGTTAATATTTATATAGCACTTTAAGGTTTGCAAAGCACCAGGAGACCAGCCTGAGTCAATAACCCTGGTGTCTGGCACTGATCATAATGCTACAGATGAGGTATAATGAGGACAGAGTACAGTGAAACTATTTCCTCCCCGTTTTACCAGTTAGAAAACTGAGGTAGGTAAAGATTAAGTGACTTGGCCAAGGTCAAACAGCTGGTAAATGTCTGAGACTAGATTTGAATTCAGGTCTTCCTGACTCTAGGTCCAGCACTCTAGTCACAGAAATGGTCAGGGTCAGTGGGGAAGGATATAGTGATTCCTGGTGGCCTTGAGACATGCACAAGTTTGAAAAGCCCTGATTCTATGTAGGTGGAATTTGTTATGCCTTTAAGCAATTAGTAAATCAAGACATGTCCAGTGAGACCTGGGAATCTAAGAGTGGCAGTGAGGTTTGAGCCATCATTCCATAAGCCAGTCATGACAGTTTCAATACCTTTTAAGGAGAAACTAACTACCTGAAAGGATCAGGGCCTTAGGAAAAGCTAGCCTGCTGGGCTCCATGATAGAGGACTCTGGTAGATAATATTCTACTACCGTAATGGTTTAAGGATATTGATAATCTAGAGAGGATCCAAAAAAGAACAGCCAGGAGAGTGAAAGGCGTTGAGTTGATATCTTAGGATGATTGGTTGAAGGAACTAGGAATGTTTAGTTTAGGAAAGAGAAGACTCATGGGTGGCATGAGAGCTTTTTCTGAGTATTTGAAGAATTGCTGCGACCTTCTGGGCCAAAGCTGTGTTAGACCAGTCCAGTAACTCAGGTTTAAGGACGAATATTTAGTGAGGTACTAGTGGACCATAAAATGCAATAAAAATCACTTTACTAATTAAAGGATTAAAAGAGTCAATTTTAGAGTTTTTTAAAGGGTATAAAATGCTACTCTCCTCTGCCTTATAATCACTATGTCAGGAATTCGGACAGGAAACCCAAAAGCGGGTGGGGATCAGGTGTCACCTCTGTCACAATTCTCCTCCGACCTGGGCTTCTTATTCTTCAAGGAACAAGAAGTCAAACAGCCCCCAGCTTCCTACAAGGACCTGCTGCTAGACCCACCCCTACCCCTACCCCCTGGACACAGAATGCTGGGCAGGACTTCCCATAGAAAAGGTAGAAAGAAGACAGAGGTGTTAGAAACCAAGGGAAAGGAGGAAGACAGAGCTCCAGGTCAATAGGCTGAGTATGGCTGCCCAGTTGCTCCTTGTGCCTTGATGGACCCTCCCCATCCCACTCATCGCCCACACCAGAGCAACACAGCTTCTCCCCAGTGTGCTGAGGAAGGATTAGATATCTTCTTAGGAATAACTGATCAGTATTACATAGTTGAACTCATCTTAATGTCAGGAAGAATGTCCTCACAATCAGAGCTGTCCAAAAGTTGTATGGGTGCCTCAGCTGGTGGTGGGTTCCCCCTCCCTGCAGGTCTTTAACCAGAGGCTGGATGACCACTTGTCAGGCATGTTGTAGTGGAAATTTCTGTTGTATACATGTTGGGCTGGATGGCCACTGAGGTCCCTTCCAACTCAGAAATTGTGGGATCCTATTTGTTTTGAGAGATCCAGGTTATTTGCCTTAGGAAGGCTTGAATGAAGATACAGACCCTTTCTCCCAAAATAACACATGGATTACATCTGGAGGGATTCATCCAGGATTCTTATTGGCTGCCAGTCCATAGGAAGCAGACTGCTTGATTTACTCAAGACCTTGAGTGTTTTTCTCTTTCAGGAATAGTTTGGTTCCCACTGGACCCATATCACATCACCTGAATCACTCACATTAGTAAGAAAGGGCAGAGTCCAGGTTTTTTCTTCCTCACTGTGACTCCCCTTGGTTGCTCGTCCAGCTCGGGGTCATGTCCTCAATCTTTCATCTAGATAATCTTGACGCTCTTTCGAAAGGCTGGGGAACAGGACCTTTGATTACTAGACCATGTCCATGTATATCTCCAGGGCCACCACTCTGGGGCTGATGGAGAAGGGCTGCATCCTTGGAGATCTGTGCCGAAACACAGGTTTCAGCTTCACACACCTGGATGTGAGGTGTCCCAAAAGTATTGATGCAAGCCTCACTTAGCCCCAGAGATGACAGCCATGGAGAGACAGTTGCAAAGCCTCTTGACCAGAGAGTCTGAGAGATGGCAATAAGAACAAGAGTCCCTGGCCTGATCTGGAGAGAGGCAGGGATGGAATCTCTCAGCCCAAGGGATTAAAGCTTATTAAAGCATTGACCTGCACTAAGACTTTATGATGCCTGAGTCTGAGAGTGGGTGGAAGACAGGACCCTTTGGATGTCTCTGAAGGACCAGTGCATCTGTTCCCTTTTATGGTCCCGGTAAGGAGTAGCATTAGCCCACAATAACTTGAGCCAGTAAAATCATCCCCTTACCACTGAGGATTTAATCACTTATCCTCAGTGAGGTGTGAATGCCTTCATAAGTACGCAGGTCCTGTCATCAAGGCAGCCAAACCCTCCATAGGAAGAGTCAAAGTACGGTGGTCTCATCTGTCAGTGTGATCATAGGGCCCTGATATACCCTCTTCATACTATTTAGTTTAAAAAGATAAGGGTGGGGGAGATGTCCCACTGGAAGGAAAATCTAATCAATAGTAAAATTAAAATTTTTGAAATTTCTGGATTTCAGGTAGAGTAGCAAGTCATAACTGTAACTTTGATGCTCAGGTACAAATCAGTTAAAATATAACCTGACTTCTACAAGGATAAAGTCAAAGAGAATTTAATGAACCAGACTTTGTAAAAATAGACATTTTATAGTCTTCTCTGATTGTACAATAAACTTGGAAAGGATGCAAATTGAGGGAGGTATTCACAACTCTTAATAGAAAGTAAATAATTTTTTGTGAAGATTTAAAGGGTATAATAAGCTAACTAT